TTTTTTAAATGTTCAGTGAGTTTTGCTCTATAGTGCTTCATACGTTTCAGTAGTGAATTTCTGGTTTTTGGGTTAGAAGGCAAGAAAGAACTGGTCATTTCCTACTATTTCTCTCTGAAATATTCCATGTTTCTGTCAAAGATGAAAGTAGCGTTAGTGAGCTTGATGTTTTGTTGAAGCCAACGTACTGAATAGGAGAGGTGTTGTCTTTAAATGAGACAGTTCAGGTGCAGTACAGAACTGAGTAACGTTGAGTTTAAAGCAAGAATAATATCAAATGTTGATGAGTCTCTGAAATATATATATTATTGGAAAGGCAGCTGGGAAGAAAAATAGAAGAGTGTGTAAATTATGTCTTGCTATACATGGAACGTGTAGTAGGAACATGTCAGTTGACTAAGGCAAACAGCATCTTTCATTTTTAGGGCTGGGACATGAAACTTTTTAACATGTTTTGAGATGTTCAGATATTACTCAGAGTATTCAGACATTATACAGGGCATTCAGGTTTCTTTTGTTGTTGTTTTACCATTTAGCAGTCAAATTCTTGAATTTTTTAAGAAAGAGGATAAAAATATTACTGCAAGGGAAATTGTTTCAGATGGTACAAAATATTGGAAGTGTTAGAGGATAATAATTTGTAAAAGTCTATGTGGGTGTAACAGTGGTACGTATTAGTTGCTGATTGATGTATAGTTTGAGTCCCTTGGTCTTGGAGCCAGGATTGGATACACTGAGTACTCATACATGGAGGGAGCTTTTAATGTGTGTTTAGGTCTGTAGATGCTCAGCAATTCTTTGTGCCCTTTATATGCTTCTGGAATATGAGATTTTTGGGAATGAAGACCTTGGGAAGTGTAGAAGGCTGCATTGATTGCTCAGTCACAGCTTGGATCATTCTTGAGAGCCAAGGTAAACATGATGCATGATGTTAATCTGGCAGGCAGCTCTAATTGCTACACCAGAGCATTAGAGGGGGCAGTGGGAGTTCTGCACTGGAGCTAGGGTGTGAAAAGCTGCTTCAAGGAATGGTGACTGTATAAATAATGCTGCAAAAGGGCAGTGAAAATGAAGGTGAAATGCTGTTACAACACTTAGGATTAGAAAATGACTTTTTTTCCTTATTTGCCTTCTCTTTCTTCTTATGCTGTCAAATTATAGTTTTAATTTCCAAATGTAAGATGGAAAGACAAGGAAATGCATAGCAGGTGTGTGTTTTAGTGTATTTCCCTTATGTGAGGAAGCTGGGGTGGGGAGGCAGGCCTGGGGAAGAACAGCATGCTGCCCTGGCCTCTGTCTTGCAGAGCTGCTTGTGCCTGTTCTGAATAATATGTCAAGTAATATGGAATACTCTTCCAAAAAGTTCTGCTGTAGTCTTTGAATTATATCAGTATGACATTGCCATCGCCTCAGTACTCAAGGAGGCTTGCAGATCTCCTCTACATGTCTTCTGCTTTCCTCTATGCTGAAGGTAATTCTCTTGAGTCTTGAGGTTCACCAGCACTTGTTCATAAAGAGCATACCTTTCAAATGGTGTGCGAGAAGATAGAAACATCTTGGTCTTCACTGCAGGCCATGTCATTACAAATTGGAGCTGACTATCAGTCTTCCTTTTAAAATCTGGTCTTTTTAGGCTTCTTTTTAGGGAGCCTCATGCAGTATTGCCTCTAACTTGTTCTTGGTGCGTAGGCATGAAGTGCTAGGAACTGCAATAAGTAAATCAAACAGCATTCTTAACTACACAGTAATCTGGTATGGTGTAGCAAAACAAAGAATAAATGTAAGATGACTTGTTACAAAAACAGCTCTTCTGGTCTCCAAACAGAAACCTCAGACTTGCTCAATATAGTTTTGAATACAAAAATTAAATGCTTAACTTTTTGTTGTGGTGTTTACCTGTCAGAAGATATAATACTGCCCATTATGTGGGGGTGTGGGGGAAAATCTCCTGACTTTGAGTTATGAGGTAGCAGAGGTGTTTTAGAACCAGCTGTTTGTTTGTTTCATCTACAAACATGCAAACTGTTATATTAGATTTTAATTTAATTATTCTCATCCCACCAATAACAAGAGCTGTATTGTCTGGCAGAGTAAACCTTTGTCTACTTATTTTATCGAGAAATAGTTCAACCTGAAAATAAACTTTTAAGAGTTAAAACTCTGAACTTCCTCTGTATTTTAAAGCCGATGAAAGCCCCAGGTAGCTGAACACCAACCTAGGAAAGTAGGCATGTAGAAAAACAAACAACTGGGAGTGCAGTCAGCTTAGCAGAAAGACCTTGTGTCTGGGCCTTAATTAATAGTACCTCCCCTGGATTTCGTGGGAAGTATCTATCTGTACTGACATCAGGATGAATGATAGTTTCAAAGCTGTGCTTTATCAGTGTACCTCATGTCATCTGTTCCTTTAGGGCCTGGTCTTTTGTGTCTTGGTCTGTTTGGTTGTCTCCAGCTTCACAGCTAGTTTCTCTAGCCTGTTTCATGCATACTTATTTTGGCACTGCCTTCCTAGAGGACTTAGGTCTCTGAATTAGGGGGGAAGCTGCTTGAGCCTTCCTGAAATTTCGCTTATTAGTATCAAGTCTGTTCCGACTTTACAGGATTCAACAAACTACAGGGATCACATATGTAGAAATATTACTGTTAGTCAGCAGAGGGAGAAATCTTGCCTTGAGGAGACTGCAATGATGGGGATTTGAAAAGAACATTTAGTTTAAAAAAAAAAAAAAAAAAAAGGCCACTTGAGTTGGCTGATTCTGTTTCAGCCTGTTCACGGTTGGGAACAGCTCAACTGCTTGTGGAGATTCTTATAAATATATACAACATTTGTACATGTACTTATATGTAATATAGGAATATATGTAAAAAGAGGCAAGACTGCATAACATGCATTGAGAACACTTTTTCATAACCTGTCCTGTCAGTACAATAGCACAAGGCATTCCT